ACCCCTATAACAAATTATTGCACCCTCTTTTAGAATAAATTCTATTTTCATTGTTTTTAACCTAACACCTTTAACATGACAATTTAAGTACTAAATTGGGTTAATCATTTTGTAGTTTTTTTACTTATAATTGTAACTCTTTGTAATCTTATTATTTACTTATATTTTAACTATATTTTTTCTTTTCCTATTTCAGATACTAGATATGTATGCACGAGCACTCACTACTTTTGGTAAGAAATAGTGCTTGTTTGGATAAGTTTTTCTATTACAAAAACTGATATTTAGCGATACATGGTATTTTGAAAAAATGAATTATTTTCAAGATTAGAAAGGAAATCTCTAAAATTATTGCTTTTATAGTATGTACCTTTTTGTTGTTAGACTCTTGAATTTAATAAATCAAAAAATTGTTGTGTAATTTAGACTACACAATAAAAACAATTTGGTGAGGGAGTAAGCCCTTGATATTGAGGCTTTTCGCTTGCAACCATCTCTGTTTTATTGTCTTATATTATCTGAATTGTAAAATAAGATTATCTTAATAAATAGAAGATAGTTATCCCTTTGTATTAAAAAGTTCTCTTATATTGTAGGTGAGAAGGATCCAAAATGCGGATGCTGGCCCTGGCACCCCTGTCCCTCTTGCTGCCGCGGCAATTGAGCATAAGAACCTGCAAGGGCCTACTTACCATGATATCCTCTTCAAAAATGTGCTAGTCTTTTTTATGTAGAATAAAAGCTCCCACAAAACAAGCAACTTAATTGGAATATTGAGATGATTAATGGATGAATTATCTCTTGTCATATAGCTATTTTTAGGTTGAACTGTTGTTTATGTATAATTTGGTCAAGCTCTTTTCAATGTTTATTTGCATGAATTTTACCAAGGTTTGTGTTTACACTCAAAATGTTCTTTTGGAGTGCAAATTTTACCAAAATTTAATCCAAGTTTTAGTATGGATGGTTTATCATTGACCAAATTGGTGTTACATGAAGAAGAAAAAAAAAAGGTAGGTTAACCAAGAAAAGGAAGTAACCTTTGAAGTGTGACCCAAAAGTGTCAACAAATCTAAATGGAGGGGATAAATTCTAACAAATTCATGCAAGAAAAAACTGTGGTTCTTGGTACAATTGATGATGAATTATATTATATTAGAGATAACCTTTCCCGTTTTCCAATGAAGTTAGAAATCTTGCTTTTCTTATTCTTCTTTGTAGTGTTAAGAATTTGGATTTAAACCACATTGGCAATCAATAAATCGAAACTTATTCCATGAATAGACTCTACCTTGTGCAAATCAACCAATCTAGTACATGATCCAATAGGTTGGGAGAATTCGTTCTAAAAATTTAGTGCAGAAATAGCATTTTACCATCCATTGAGCGAGAAGACATGCAGAAACTAGAGGTTTATGTACATAACGTACCTAATTGGTGAGAAACAGGGATTGGACAACCAAACTCCTTGGAACTGTTAACCTTGAAAGACATTTCTATCTAAGGTATACCACCTGAACAGGGGGTAGTAAAGCATGTGCTAATTGCATTTGCTACAGACATGAAAGCTTGAATATTGTTAGCATATCATAGCATAAACTTTGTGTAACTCATGCAGTTTGCTGGATACTTAGATCCAGTATGCTCCAAGATTAGTCTAACTCAAGGATGATGACTGATAAGGTAAGAAATAATAACCTCCCCAGTGAATTGAAGAGGATCCTAACTTTGAAATTTCCAATCTTAACAAACACAGAAAACAAGAGAAACAAAGTACAAGCTTGTCTCGTTTATAATTGAAAGTTACCCCAAACAGGGGGTGGATTCAAGAGAATTCGTTGTCTATGACTATTCTCATCAATAGGGTTCCTTGAAGGTGCTATTGTAATTTGTAGCCTAATGAGGTCAGCAAAATTACTAGGAAAACACAATAAAACATAGTCAAAGACAGGAAGTTATCCTTTATTGCTCCTTAAAGCCTGAAGCAGAGAAGATAATTACAGCTTATGCAACAATTGATATTGAGATGGGAGCAAAAGAGATGGAGAACCGATTCAATAGTCATTTAGCCTTGCACAAACTAACCATATG